TCCCCTTACATCTACTCAGATAGATGGTTGCAAAATACCAATGACATTCTTCACAGAAATAGAAAAAACAATGCTAAAAATTGTATGGAACCAAAAAAGGACCCAAATAGCCAAATCAATAGTAAGTAAAAAGAACAAAGCTGGAGGCATCTACTACATGGCTTCAAAATATACCACAGACCTATAGTAACCAAAACAACATGGCATTGGTATAAAAACAGACACGTACAGAAGTGGAACAGAACAGAGAATTCAGAAATAAATCCACATATTTATAGTCAACTGATTTTCAACAAAGGCATCAAAAACGTATATTGGGGAAAGGACACCCTGTTCAATAAGTGATGCTGGGAAAACTGGATATTCATGTGCAGAAGAATGAAACTATCTGAATGAATAGACTGCTGTCTCTCACTATATTAAAAAAAAATCAGTTCATAATGGATTAAAAGTTTTAAGACCTGAAACTGTAAAACTATTGGAAGACAACATAGGGGAAACACTTCAGGACATTGGTCTAGGCAATGATATTATGATTAAGACCTCAAAAGCACACACAACAAAAACAAAAATAGAACAAGTGGGGTTATATTAAACTAGAAAGCTTCTGTATAGCAAGGGAATCAACAGAATGAAGAGACAAACTTCGAATGGAAGAAAGTATTTTTCAACTATTCATTCGACAAGGGACTAATATCCAGAATATACAAGGAACTCCATCAACTTAACAGAAAAAAAAAATCCCATCAGATATTTCTCAAAAGATGACATACAAATGGCCAACAGGCATATGAAAAACTGCTGAATATCACTAACCATTAAAGAAATGCAAATCAAAACCACAATGAGATATTATCTCACCCCAGTTAGAATGGCTGTTATGAAAAGGACCAAAAGTAATAAATGCTGGCAAGGATGTGGAGAAAAGAGAACTCTTATACCTCGTTGGTGGGAATGTAAATTAGTAAAGCCATTATGGAAAACAATATGGGGGTTTCTCAAAAAAATAAATGTAGAACTACCATATAGTCCAGAAATTTCACTACTGGATATTTATCCAAAGGGAAATAAATCAGTATATCAAGGGGATACCTGCACCCCCATGTTTATTGCAGCACTGTTCACAATAGCCAAAGTATGGAATGAACGTAAGTGTCTATCAATGAATGAATGGGTAAAGAAAATGTGGTATACAGATATACAATGAAATACTGAGCCACAAAAAGAATGAAATCCTGTCATTTGCAGCAACAGGGATGGAACTTCAGGTCATTATGTTAAGCGAAACATGCCAGGCACAGAAAGACAAATATCACATGTTCTTACTAATATGTGAGAGCTAAAAAAGTTGATGTCAGGAAAGTAGAGAGTAGAATGGTGGTTACCAGAGGCTGGGAACGGTGTGGGAGGAGGATGAAGAGAGGTTGGTTAATGGGTACAAATATACATTCATATAGAAGAGTAAGTTCTAGTGTTTGATAGCACAGTAGGATGACTATCATTAATAACAATACATTATATATTTCAAAATAGCTGGAAGAGAAGGTTTGAAATGCTCCCAGTACAAAGAAATGATAAATGTTTCAAGGGTGATATATATCCCAGACACTCTAACTTGATCGTTACACATTATATGCATGTATTCAAATAGCATATGAGCTCTGTAAATATGTAAAATGATTATGCATCAATAAAGAAAGTTAAAAAGAGAGAGCATAGGTGAGAACTCTCTGCTTTTATCTAATGAGCTCCGGATTGCCTTCCATACTCCTGGACATGATACTAGGAAGTCTCAATCAAGGGCCAGATTATGCCTCCTGGAGAGAAATGCACTGGAAACTGGATATAATCTAATTGATGTTAATTGTGATAAGTGTTGTTGGTTTTACTTTTGGCTTCATGCATAATGACTTATGTTTTGTGGTGGTAATGAGTAAAAGAGGTGGGGTGAGTTGATGAAACTGCTTCTGTGCCCTGATAAGTGACTGTGTTCTGATTGGTTCTCAGATGGGAGTTGATTTTTCTACAGGAAGAGAATTAGCTTACCAATGTGAAACCACTGAAGGCAAAGTCAAGAGAAGTTTACTTTGCCTCCATTGCAGTCTTATTCCCACGTCCTCACTTTTTTCTCTTCCCTTTATTCTCCTTCCTTTTCTCCCCAAACTCATGATTTCCTTTCTGTCAGCAACTCTCTCCAGGTTCTCATTAACACAGAAATTGTAAAGATTCAGAAAAGACTATGATGGGATATTTTTCCTCCTTGTTTCTGTGAATCTTACATTTGGACTGGAAATATAATTTATATACTACCATAGGGGATCCTTCTTCAATTTTTCTGAAATTAATAGAACCCATTTTTTTTTTTCATAATGTGTTGAAGGAAATAGTTTTTGAAAAGTTGAGAATGGCAAGAGATCAACTGAGAGGAGATTTTTACTTTGAGGGATCCTCTCTCTGGCATGAGATGAGTCCTTGTGAAGTGAAAAGATGGGGGCTATCTTTGGAAACGCACCCATCCCTGCTCCCAGAGAGCTCCGGGCCCACATTTTATGGAGAACAGCATCTGCTCTCACATTGAGCTGGGTTAAGCCTTTGAATTTTCCTTTGCATATATTCTCAATCATTGATAGTGTTGAATCATGAGGCATTTTGCTAGATGTGGGAATAAATTTTTTTTCTTTTTTTTTAAGGCAGAGTTTGCCCTGTCACCCAGGCTGGAGTGCAGTGGCACGATCTGGGATCATTGCAACCTCTGCCTCCTTGGCTGAAGCGATTCTTCTGCCTCAGTCTCGTAAGTAGCTGGGATTACAGGCATGTGCCAACACACCAGACTAATTTTTTGTATTTTTGGTAGAGATGGGGTTTCACCATGTTGGCCAGGCTGGTCTTGAACTCCTGACCTCAGGTGATCTACCCGCCTTGGCCTCCCAAAGTGCTGGGATTATAGGCATGAGCCACACCTGGCCAGGAATGAAATATTCTTAACGAGGAACTTGACAAGGTCTGAAAAAGTAGATTTTCAGGAAAAGCCACAGGCTTGAAGTGTATCATCTTTCCTTCACGGTTTGGCACATCGTTACTTTCCTTTTCCGTGAGTTAGGTAACAAGTGACGTTTAGAAATACCCTCTTTCCCACTGTCTGCATGCCAAAGATCAGCCTTTCATATTTTTCCTTAATTGTCAAAGAAATATTTGAGCATCTAAGCTGATATTCTTTATTACTGTGGGTGTGATTTGGGAAACAATTCTTGGAGGGCAACTCTGAGTCTGTGGTGAATAAAAAAGTGAGGATAAATGTGAGTGAATATTGTGTCTGGTGTTCTCTGTGCAGCTGGAAAAATGATGAGCAAGTTAGCTTGATTAGCTGAGCATCTTCCTCCTATTGAAAGGGCGGTGATGGTCGTGATTGGAAAAAGCTGTTCTTGAGTGGCATCCTTTTAGGAAAGACTGTGGTTTAAACGGGCTTGTCTACGGGCCTCACTTTTGGGCTTACCTCCACCCCCAAGCCATCCACCATCGTTAGCCACGTTCCTGAAATTAATTTATTAGAGGAACTGTTTGATTCAGGAGATAAGTGGGTTTTGCTTAGGTGTGGTTATGGGGTTTAGGAGGGTCTGCTGGTTAGTTCCACCGAGACCCTGAACAGTATGAAGTGGAAGGCTAGTTAAGAAGCAGAAAGAGAAAAAAGGAAGCCAGTCTTCTCAAACATTTTGTTGGAAGTCTGCTGAAAGATTCATTTTGCTCTGTGCCCCACAGATTGCATAGCTGGTTCTGCCTCTATGCTTTCAGGTCGCTCAAGTGTAACAGGAGTGAGAAATGAGAATCAAGGGCCCATTTCATCACTTTCTTCCAAGTCTCTGTATCCACATGTGCACCGTATGAAATTGCTGTCCATACCCTTGTCTTAATTGATTTAATGTTTAATCTCCTTTAACAGAAAGTTTACAGAGGTCTCTTTTCTTCTTCTAGTACAACTTGCAGTCTGTAGTTAAAAGGGTGATTCAGGTCTTGGCGGTATGTGATACTTCTGTCCTTTGAAAAGAAGTCATTTAAAAAATCTTGGTTTACTTCGTTTTATGGTAACAAGACAATACACCTTCTTATTTAATTCATACGTGCACTCTACATTCACTCCAGCAGGGCTTATTTCTTAAGCAGGAGACGAGAAATAGCCTTATTGGTTGGCAGGTGCAAGTGCTGAAACTAGCACTAACGACTGTGAATATTCATTCCTGAGCTGTATTCGTGTTCAGACTCAGGTGAGGGGTGCAGACTGGAGTGTTCGTCTAGTCCCCTTTTGTGGGTTTAGATGAGCGTGAGATGGTTGGCTTGGCAGGTTGGCCCAGGTGAGAGAAGCAAAGTCATCGGTGGCCCTGTTCCCTGTGGGAGGCTTTACTTTTCCATGCTTACACACTGAACATCTAAGCTGGCTGCTCAAATAATCAAGAGGCAGACTTGGTAAAAATGTGAATAAATGAGTGTAGTTACTATATAGCCATTAAAGAAAAATCTGCTAATGGTGACTCAGTAGTGCCTCCCTGATTGTAAAGGACAGTATCTTCTGGTGAGCTGTGAGCATGTTCCATGGGTTGACAATCAGATTTGCATGTCTGATGACATTAATTGCAGGGTGCTATGGGCCAGGTTTCTGTAAGTTGGGTGGAGGTGGCCACTGGCAGTGAGTACAACGCCCAGGGGGAAGCATGTGAGTGGGAGGAAGAAAAGAGAGAGCTTTCTGGAGCTGTTGCAATGTGTATGCTGGTGAAATCGACTTGAGCATTAAGCAGCATCTCCCAGGATTGTTAGTTACTGAGTGGCACGTCTTCAGTACTCATGATTTGTGGGGAACTTGGGCAGAGGTAAAAGTGTGGTAAGTTTTAATACTGTGTTTTCTTACTAGTTGCTTTTGACATGCATACAGGTTTGTGTGTGTGTGTGTATGTGTGTGTAAAACTGACTGTAAGATGTCACGTTTCAGCCTATTGATTTTTTTATTCCAGAAACTTTTCAGCATTACCTAAGAAACAAAGGCTCAATTTTGGCTGCTTCATTCTTATCCCTTCTGCCACAGTTCTAACGTGCTTGATCTACTGAGACCGAGGATGATCAATGACTCAGAAGGCAAAATGGGATTTAAACACCCAAAGGTTAGTTTGGCATTTCCGCAGTAACCTTTGGTGTGATAAAGTGAAAAGAGCAAGAGCTTTTGATTTATAAAGACCTTGTTTGAATCTGACTGTACTGTGTATTTATGACATTGTGCAAGTAACTTTTTGTGGGTTGTAGCTGATCAAGGCAAAGTTAATACTAGCCTAGTGCTGATGATTCTGTGGAAATTTTATTTCATTTTATGTCGGGATCTAGCATTGTGGTTGGATAGGAAGAGTTGATGTTGAAGATATGTGCCTTAAATGCTTGTCTTGATTTCTGTAGCATTTTCTTCCTCTGGGAACTTCAGGAATCTGGCAGCTGAAGCGTTAGGTCTACCAGGCACTCTTTTTATCCGTCCTTTCCTTCCATCCATCCATTTATCAACACTTAGGTACCAAACTGTTTACTATATGCCAGGCATAGTTCTAACAGCTAAGGATTAAGCAGTGAAGAAACATAGAAAAAAAATCCTATATACATGGAGCTTTCATTCTAGTGAGGGAGGAATGCAATAAACAAAATAATTCAGTAAATTATGGGTATATTAAAAGGGAATGTGTTACAGGGAAAATAAAGCAGGAAAAGAGGGTAGGGTATTGAGGCAATTTTAAATAAGGTGATGAGAGCAGGTCTCATTGAGAAAGAGCTCCCCTGCAGAGCTCTGAACACACAGTGCCTTCTTGTTATTACCAGCCACCAGTGCTCATTGCCTTGTCTTCCTCTTGTTTATTCACTGAGGCCTCACCATTTTTGGTCCATGAAAAAAAATAATTGTTTGAGAGCACAGAATATGACTTTTGGGTTTTCCTTTAGGGCTATGGTGTTAGTAGATGCTAGTTAAAGGATACATTGGTGGGGCCCTCTTTTCTGCCCTTCCTGGGTTCCTTATACATTGCGTACCTACCTGCAGAGCTTTTTTTTGCATAACCTCTCTAGTCCCTCTTGTACGCTCCACACAAACCTCTGATTATGCAGCTAAGTATGGCTCCTTGTAGGGCTGGGCCTCTGCTTCTAGTTTCTTGGAGCAAGCAGGCATGGATTGCCAACCTAACTTCATGCTTTTGTACAATAGCAACCTCTGCCTTCACCATTTCCTGTCCCAACATCGTGAAAGGAGAGTGTCTCATCATCAAGAAAAGGCTCTCACTTTCTCTGTCTTGGTCCAGGAGGTAGGGGAACAAAGAGGAGCAAATAAGCCAATCATATCATGGTGTCACGGGGACCCGGAACAACCTTTGCAGTATGAGGATGGGATCCACATCAAGAAGATACTCATTCTTCTTTGGCCCATGATGGATCACGAGTCAGTGAATGTTCATTAGCTTTCATAAAAGGTGATATCTGCTTTCTGGTAGTTTTCAAAATGTTAAAGAACCCCTTTAGAAGCTAGGAGCAAAGTTTAGTGTGTGAAGCTCTGTGAAGGCCATGGATGCCTTTTAATTTGGGATTTAGTAGAACTTAAATTCCCTCTGATACATCCTAAGTTTCCCAAAGGCAATGTGAATGGATGTGGGCTGGGCAACATCTGCACTTCCAGCTGAGATGAGATATGGTAGGGTTTAGCTTTCATTTCTCTTTCTTTCTCTTTCTTTCTTTCCTTCCTTCCTTCCTTCCTTCCTTCCTTCCTTCCTTCTTTCCTTCTTTCTTCCTTTCTTTCTTTCTTTCTTTTTCTTTCTTTCTTTCTTTCTTTCTTTCTTTCTTTCTTTCTTTCTTTCTTTCTTTCTTTCTTTCCTTCTTTCCTTCTTTCCTTCTTTCCTTCCTTCCTTCCTTCTTTCCCTCCCTTCCTCCCTCCCCTCCTTCCTTCCTTCCTTCCTTCCTTCCTTCCTTCCTTCCTTCCTTCCTTCCTTCCTTCCTTCCTTCCTTCCTTCTTTCCTTCTTTTTCTTTCTACCAAGTTTTGCTCTTATTGCCCAGGCTGGAGTGCAATGGCATAATCTTGGCACACCACAACCTCTGCCTCCTGAGTTCAAGCAATTCTCCTGCCTCAGCTCCCAAGTAGCTGGGATTACAGGCATGTACCACCATTCCTGGCTAATTTTGTATTTTTAGTAGAGATGGGGTTTCTCCATGTTTGTCAGGCTGGTCTTGAACTCCCAACCTCAGGTGATCTGCCTGCCTCGGCCTTCCAAAGTGCTGGGATTACAGGAGTGAGCCACCACGCCTGGCCTCATTTCCCCTTTCTGATATGGCTCTCTGAGGTGGCTTCTCCTTGGCTAGGAATATAGCATTGCCATGCCAGCTGCAGCACGTACGCACACACCCTGGAGCTATCCACCCCACATCATTCTGTGCCAGTTGTGTTGGCCTTTTTCTGTTCACTGAGGATCTAGAGAGACAGTGATGTCAGCCAGAGCTGCTGTGGCAGGTGGGGCTGTTCTGATGTCTGTTCAGGTGGCCAGAGCCTCCTTGCCACATTCAGCTCCTGCGCACGTCCTCTAGGCTGGCCCCAGTACAGCTCTGGGCCACTCTCCATGACTGTGAAGTGTATTTCTGCCCCGCTTAGTAGTAATGAGGAGAAGTATTTATTTTTATACGTTTGCTTGTTGTTTCAGGTGATAAGAGTTCTGTAGAAGCCAGGATTTCCTAACACTCCAAGTCCTTCTTAGGCAGCATTATGGTTCTCCAGTTATATACCTGCCCAGCTCTGTCCAATATTGAGTTCCAATCTATACCTGAAAAGACAGACACGAACAGTAACAGGAGAGTAAATGTTGGGGGTGGGGATAGTGGGCCCAGCTGCACTGACAATAACAATCCCCTTGCCGCCCCTCCTTTGTTGTCTGTGAAGCTACTCTAAGTAGTAATTCTTCCCTGGACCATACCCTGTTGGGAAGCGAGGTGTGGAGGTGCCAGGCAGTGGTTTGGGGCCTGACGCTGGCCCTTGACCTGTGTGTCACAGCTGTGTGGGAGATGCAGTATCACTTCCTTGATTTGTTTGTTTTTCCGGATTGCACCTTTGTTGACAGTCTGGAACTTACTCTTGTGCATTTTGTTATTTATTTTCAATGGTGCAAGGCCCCAGTGTTCCATCCTCCTTCTGAATTCACAGAAACATCCACACAAATAGACTGGCCTTGGCTTGGACTCACATTTGAGAGACTTCAATCTACTTGGCCTGTCAAAATGAAGTTCTTCTTAAAAGTCCTAACTCTCTGGTGCTGGGCTATAGTCTAATCAGTGCTTCCCAACCTTTTTTCACATCACAGTATACATGGACATGATATGATTTATGTAGATGGGAGAGCTCATTCCTAGGCAGTAGGCCATCGGGGTCTGGCTACTGTAGTCCTTGACCCCTCACCCTCACCTGGCTGTTCCTGGGGCTTAGGTGATTTGTGTTTCCCTCTGGCACACCTGTTCCCATTGGGGGCACACAAGTATGCTACAGCTAAGGTTAGAAGTTCTGGCCCAAGACCTAGCATAGACCACAGTCTCAAGTTGCAACAAAGTGTTTCGTCCATAAACATCTTTGAAGATGATCCTAGAGGGTGCACATACTTTCCCAGGATATTGTAAGTTTGGGAGAACTGAGTTCCTGTGGTTGCACCCATTGCTTGGTGCAGTCTGCCACCACTTGTCCTTCTAGAAGGAAGGGTAGAAGGATGCCAACACTGCATGTTCCCTGTCCCCTCCAGGCCAGCATGACTAGGATCCTTGGCTCTGTGGCCAAACTCTAATGCTTAGCACTGCTTCTTTCCATCCTACTGCGTTCTGGGGGTATTTCACATGACTTCCACAGGTTCCTGACCTCCCGGCTTTGCTACATATTCTGCATAGCTTAGAACATCACTTCTTATGCAATGGTTGGAGGTGTCATAGATGTTCTGCTGATGTTGTCTGTTTGTGTTGCCGTGAACCACACCTGGATAACTGGTCTGGGTGGAATTCAGCTACTGCAAGAGTACATACTAGTCCTCTTTTAGCCCTTATGACTGTGTGGTACCAGGTGGTGGTTCTTACATTTAAACAGAGCTATGGGCTCATCCATCCATTCATTCATTTATTTACTCATTTAGCAACTCTATTCAATAAATGCTGGCTACTGGGAATATAACGATTAAAGTCATAGTCTCTGCCTTTCAGGAGCTCACAGTGCAGTGAGGGAGATCCAAGAAGTAAACAATGATGATATGCATGAGAAATTCCACTGGGTTCCATGGGAACACAGAAGAGGGGGAAGATTCTTGCACTTGGAGAGTGGTCAGAGGAGGTTCCCTGACTGAGATGAGATAACTTTTAGCTTGAATTTTTTCTTCTCTTCCTCCTTCTCCTCCTCTCCTCCTCCTCCTCCATTCTCCTCCTTCTCCTTCTCCCCCTCCTCCTCCTCCTCCTCCTTTCTCCTCCTTCTCCTCCTCCTCCTTTCTCCTCCTTCTCCTCCTCCTCCTCCTTCTCCTTCTTTTTCTTTCTTCTCTTTCTCCTTCTTATTCCTCTTTAAACAGAGTTATCTGGGATGTGTGCTAATTGAATGAAGGAAGGAAGGGAATGGCATAGAGCTAGAGAGTGGTACTTCAAGTGCCACAATTTTGTTTGGTCATAGTAGAATTCTAATGGGCAACAGCAGCTAATGAAATAAGGATCACTTAAGGAGGGAGAGGAGACCTTTACAACAGCCTGCAATGGTCAGATCATACTTTTGGAAGGAGAATGTCTGTGGGATTCACTCATAGAAACCCTGGAAAGTTTCCATTGAAGGAGAAAGAAATCTAGATGGCAAGCTGGCTTGAAGAGACTTGTTATGTATGACTTCTGTGAGTGCGGGAGGATGGCAGGGGAGACTGCATTCTCTGTCCTACTTCTTTCATTCAAAAGACAGCATGATCTTGGGCAAGTGACATGACATCTCCAAACCAGTGTCCTCATTTATAAAGGTGGTTCTAATAATACCTCTCTCACCAGGGTTGATATGAGAATTAAATGACATCATTTATTGTTGTATGAAAGAATCTAACATAGTAACTACTCAACAGATGTTAGTTTCTCTTTCCTTCCCATCTTTTT